ACTTATTAGATTTATTTGTTTGTTTTTTTTCTCATAAAGCAATTTTTTCACAAACCTCATGTGAGAAATTACTCTCTATCGGTAATGTACCAATTATTTTTTCCTTTTTCTTTTTTCACACAATCACATTGGTCTCCCTAGACATAATTTCTCATTTAGGAAAATGTTTAAAACCCATAAAAAATCTCTCACAATGTGACCTACAATGATGTGGCATTATACATATAAACTTTTAGTTTGTCATTTCTCAGTTGTGTAGAGTCTATCTCTCTTGTCATATCATTGTAGATTGAATTAAGGATTCAAATTGTGGGTCTCTAATACTAGTCTTTTGTTTCCACCCATGAATATAGTGTCCATTCCTTGATTCTAGGCTTCTAAAACTCACCATTGACATTTAAACTTTGAAAATTTTCTTAGATACTTGTAAGATATCACGTGACATTATTCCCCCACATCACGCAAACTTATAGAATCTAAATAAAAAACAAATAAATAAAATAATAGCAGGATGCTAAGAAAAATGAAGTGTAGATTAAGTGTCCAAGAATGAAGTTTAGATTAAGGGTAGATTATTTAATTGCATCATTTAAGTGTCCATAATAACTTCAGCAGAGACAAGAGCTTGTTTTCATGCCATATAGCAACCTGATCATTGAAAAAACATTGTTAAATTATTCCCCAAAAAAAAAAAAAAAGTTTGTTAAATTATAAATTTTTTACATGATTCATTGCTAAAATTTAACTTTAGCTATTGAATTTAGCTAGTGACCATTGGAGAAACTCTAACACAAACTGATCCATGATAGCTAAGTTGATATGAATGTAGTTTTCTCTTTTTGTTTCACCTTCTTTTTTCTCTCTTTTAAAGACTACTTGTCGCCCAGAAACATCATCTACATAAATATAAAATTGTTGCCAAAAACAAAACCAAAAAAAAGAAAAAAGAAAAATATAGTTAATTGCGGACCTACAGTGGGACTGGGGTGCCATCGCCAACCCCAGCCTTTGGAAAATTACACTACTAGCTCTATATTCATAAGTATTTGTAAAATGTGTCATTGGATTGTCTCTTAATTTTTTCAAAATCTTTCTATTAATTTTATATTTCATTAATGTTTCACAATGTATCTAAGATAACCATCTCCCCCCAATATTGCTGCTGGTTTTTTGGTTGTTCTGTTTTTGTCTTTCCTTCTCTCTTTTGGTTCCCCTTGATTGGTTTCTCACCAATATTGTACTACCCTTTTTTCTCACCAATCTGGCTTAGGAGTTCCAGCAGCAGCTTCCACTGGTGTATCAGCAGCTGTTATTTCTCTGGATCTCAGCTTTGTCTTGATTTGAAGGCCACTCAGCAATTGGAATTTGGTGGGTTTATGCAACATAACAGGTTATCAGTATCATGGGATGATCTTGGTGAAGTTCTGGTGTATAAAGCAGTGGAGATGTCTTTGATTGAAGTGTTGGGTGATCTCTGGCTTTCTGCTGTGAAGTTCTGTGGCTGCTTAGTATTGGTGCCTCATTAGAGGGTGTATTGGTTGAACTATCTGTTAGTATGCTTTGCTTTGCTGATATGTTACTCTGCTGTCAGTCTTGGTGCTTTATGCTGGTTGCTTATGGTTTGCTCAGCACTATCTTGGTGATTTTGGTGACTAATAAGCGGGTGTGATGGTCTGATGCTACTGTTCTGCTTTTCTGTTTTGCTCTTCAGGGGCTGCATGTAGTGGTTGTTTTGTTGGTTGGCTTTGTTGCTTTTGCTGCCTTTGCTGCTTTTGCTTTGTTTGTTGGTTTCTCACCAATTGGAGCTTGGAGCTTGGAGCTTGAGCTAGCTCCAAGCTCCAATTTATTGATGTTCTTTTTATGCTTTGTATGTTCTCATAAATAAAGATTTTTTTTTCCATTCAAATAAAAAAAAAAATGTTTCACAATGTATAATGAGATGATTTCTAACTAATTTGTATGCTACTTAGCATCAATAAGATTTACTTAATTTTATTTATAGAATAGATGTATGTCATTTCTTTTTATTTTTATTTCAAAAATAAAAAGTACACTTATATTTTATTTACTAGATATTGGCAACCAACAAAATAGCTTTACTAATATTTCACAACTTTAGAAAAGAATTAAAAAGAAAAAAAAAAAAGAGAAACTTATTAGATTTATTTGTTTGTTTTTTTCTCATAAAGTTATTTTTTCACAAACCTCATGTGAGAAATTACTCTCTATCAGTAATGTACCATTTCTTTTTTCCTTTTTCTTTTTTCACATAATCACATTGGTCTCCCTAGACATAATTTCTCTTCTAGGAAAATGTTTAAAACCCATAAAAAATTTTCTCACAATGTGACCATCATTGCTTTTAGTTTGTCATTCCTCAATTGTGTAGAGTCCATCTCTCTTGTCACATCATTGTGGATTGAATTAAGGATTCAAATTGTGAGTCTCTAATACTAGTATTTTGTTTCCGCCCATGGATATAGTGTCCATTCCTTGATTCTATACTTCTAAAACTCACCGTTGACATTTAAACTTTGAAAATTTTCTTAGATACTTGTAAGATATCACGTGACATTATTCCCCCACATCACGCAAACTTATAGAATCAAAATAAAAAACAAATAAATAAAATAATAGCAAGATGCTAAGAAAAATGAAGTGTAGATTAAGTGTAGAAGAATGAAGTTTAGATTAAGGGTAGATTATTTAATTGCATCATTTAAGTGTCCATAATAACTTCAGCAGAGACAAGAGCTTGTTTTCATGCCATACTCTTACTACCACACCACTCATAATTAAAATTAAACTAGCAAACTTGTTGAACCCTCAATCCTTAATAAGCATGTCTCGAACAAAGATACAATTTGCAAATTCACTGGTGTGGCTGGCATCAAAGAAGAGATATTGACATCTGTTGTCACATGGTGTAGAGTTTGGGATGCAAGCTAGTTCCCCATTAACATAGGTTCCGCAACGCGGATCTTTTACATCTGTAAACCCTACACAACACAACACACATGCAGGAGACGAAAATAGCTACTTTACAGCGAAATGATGTTAAAAATAATAAAAAGAAAAAGAAAAAATAATAATAATGACCAGAAATTAATTATTTGTCAATTGAAAAAATAATGAAAAGAAAAACAGTTACCATATTTTTCAGTGTCTGCCAATATATCTTGAAGAAGATCACGGCTGTTGGCCAGAGTGAGGGTAGCATCAGGATATTCATCCTGGATATTTTTTAGTGTCTGAGAAGTTGAGAGTTGTATGGCATGATCATGCCAAACAACTCTCAACTTCCTCAGACACTAAAAAATATCTGTGTTTGCAAACTCCAGCAATCCTTCTGAGAAACCAAGAGGAATTAAACCAGGGAGAGGCTTCTTACTGGAGCATATTGTTAGACTCGTGGAGCTCACCATGAATCCCGTTTCGACTATCCGAACCGTTCAATATATAGACCTTGTCGAGTACTTCATGTGTGCAAAATATCACGTTGATCGGATATAAGTAGTCCTTTGATCAGAATATATTTTTGTTAATGGTAATATGATTTTTAAAATAAAATTATTAACAAAAATATATTCTGATCAAGAGGCTACCTATATTTGATTATTGTATTTTTTGTTGGTATGAAGTACTCGAAGAACTCTGCATAATAAGCGATTCAGATTATCGAAACGAAACCCGTGGTGAACCCCACGAATCCTACAACACACTCCAATCCACTATGTGGATTGCAGAAAAACCTAACGTTAACAATGGTTGGGTAAATTGTAAATATATACTTATATTAAAAACAAGAAGTCTAAAAAAAATACAGATTTAGAGAATTCACAAGAAGCAAGAAAAGTTGCAAATATTTCACCCCGGTTGGTTTGGTGTTGGGGAAGATACCACACCCAGCAGAAGCATAATTGATGCCGTTCATGGCAGTCTTCCTTTGTGCTTCCTTCAAGCTCAAATACGGAGGGGGTAGTGAAAGATTGTATAATATCGCTTCACGAATCACATCACAACACAGAAAATTGAATTTAAAACATTTACTACTTATGATGAGAATAAAACCAAACCAAACGGAAGAGTAATATAATACCAATGAAATCAGCAATAGTTTTTCCGTTGGTAAAACGGCCAGTGGGAGTGTTGTTGAAATCAATGCCATAAGGCAACGAATTAGCCCTTGCGGCTTTGTGGACGTAATTGTTGTTGCCGGCATCAACGGTGGAGTCCCCAAACACGTAGAGAGCAGTAACCGAGTTGGAAATCGGAATGGATGAAAAGCATGATGAATCCAACTTAGAACTTTCATCAGAATGGGCAGAGAGAAAGAGAAGAAAGAGAAACACGGGGGTAAGTGCGCCCATGCCAATCTATGGTGGGGAAAAATAGAAGAGAATGTGAAGAAAATGGAACAAGATGGGTCTGGTATTTATAGACAGCCAGATAGTCTATAAACCCAAAAACAGATATGAGAAATTGAATTTGATTGTCTCTTAATTTTTTCAAAATCTTTCTATTAATTTTATATTTCATTAATGTTTCACAATGTATAATGAGATGATTTCTAACTAATTGGTATGCTACTTAGCATCAATAAGATTTACTTAATTTTATTTATAGAATAGGTCATTTCTTTCTATTTTTATTTCAAAAATAAAAAGTACGCTTACATTTTATTTCCTAGATATTGTCAACCAACAAAATAGCTTTACTAATATTTCACAAATTTAGAAAAGAATTAAAAAGAAAAAAGAAATTATTAGATTTATTTGTTTGTTTTTTTTCTCATAAAGCAATTTTTTCACAAACCTCATGTGAGAAATTACTCTCTATCGGTAATGTACCAATTATTTTTTCCTTTTTCTTTTTTCACACAATCACATTGGTCTCCCTAGACATAATTTCTCATTTAGGAAAATGTTTAAAACCCATAAAAAATCTCTCACAATGTGACCTACAATGATGTGGCATTATACATATAAACTTTTAGTTTGTCATTTCTCAGTTGTGTAGAGTCTATCTCTCTTGTCATATCATTGTAGATTGAATTAAGGATTCAAATTGTGGGTCTCTAATACTAGTATTTTGTTTCCACCCATGAATATAGTGTCCATTCCTTGATTCTATTATTCTAAAACTCACCGTTGACATTTAAACTTTGAAAATTTTCTTAGATGCTTGTAAAATACCACGTAACATCATTCCCCCACGTCACGCAAACTTATAGAATCAAAATAAAAAACAAATAAATAAAATAATAGCAGGATGCTAAGAAAAATGAAGTGTAGATTAAGTGTAGAAGAATGAAGTTTAGATTAAGTGTATATTAAATAATCAAATCACATTCACCTAAAAAAAAAATCAAATCATTTGAGTGTCCATAATAACTTCAGCAGAGACAAGAGCTTGTTTTCATCCCATACTCTTACTACCATACCACTCATAATTAAAAATAAACTAGCAAACTTGTTGAACCCTCAATCTTTAATAAGCATGTCTCGAACAAAGAAGCAAGAAAAAAAACACAGGGGTAAGTGCACCCATGCCAATCTATGGTGGGGAAAAATAGAAGAGAATGTGAAGAAAATGGAACAAGATGGGTCTGGTATTTATGACTGCCAGATAGTCTATAAACCCAAAAACAGATCTGAGAAACTGAATTTTAGAATATAACAGGAAGTTACACTTTTTGCTGACTAAAATTTTTATTGCAAAAAAATTATTTTTAATCAACGTAAGCATTTTTGCGACAAAAAATTTTGATCGATAACCACTACAATAAAATTGATTTTTCACGACTTGCAATGCATGCCGTAAAAACTCTTTCACGGCATGTATACAAATGCCATTATATGACATGCCGTGGAAAGTTGAGTTTTGTTTACGGCATACAGATAAAGTTATAAAAAGTAATAAATTAAACATTAATAACATACTTTGTATGTCATACATAATTTTTTACAATATTTTTGTCATGTCATAAATCATCATACTTTCCATGGCATAATGTTAAATGCTATAGAAGATTATTTTTAACATACTTATGGCATACTTTGTATGCCATGTATAATATTTTACGGTATTTTCTTACATGCCATAAATCATCACGATTCACAACATAATTTTGTAGGCCTTAAGTCATTTTTAATATATTTATGACGTACTTTGTATGTCGTATATAATCTTTTACAGCATTTTCTTACATGTCATAAATCATTACACTGCTCATGACATAATTTTATATGCCTTAGAATGTTATTTTTAATATATAATATATATACAGAAATATAACATTGCCTAACATTATGCAAATAGTAACTTATAAAATGCAATCTGTGAACAAACCAAGTGGCAGATCTTCCTGGACAGTCCTGTTAAATGCGTCAATCTGTGTTTGCAAACTCCAGCAATCACGCTGAGAAGCCAAGAGGAATTAAACTAGGGAGAGGCTTCTCTCCAGTCCACAGTGGACTAGAGCATGCTGTTGGACCCATGGGACTCACTATGAATCCCGTTTCGATTATCCGAACCGTTCAATATGTAGAACTCATCGAGTACTTCATGTGTGTGAAAAATCACGTTGATCGGATAGCGTTAGTCCTTTGATCAGAATACATTTTTGTCAATGGTAATATGGTTTTAAAAATAAATTATTAACAAAAATATATTCCGATCAAGAGGCTATCTATATCTGATTAATGTATTTTTTGCAGGTATAAAGGACTCGATGAACTCTACATAATCAACGATTCAGATTATCGAAAGGAAACCCGTGGTGAACCCCACGAATCCTACAACACACTCCAATCCACCATGTGGATACCAGAGAAACCTCTCCCATAAAGTAACGTTAACAATGGTTGGGTAAATTGTAAATATGTACATATATTAAAAACAAAAAAGTCTGAAAAAAAATACAGATTTAGAGGATTCACAAGAAGCAAGAAAAAAAACACAGGGGTAAGGGCACCCATGCCAATGAATCCAACTTAGAACTTTCATCAGAATTGGCAGAGAGAAAGAGAAGAAAGAGAAGCACAGGGGTAAGTGCAGCCATGCCAATCTATGGTGGGGAAAAATAGAAGAGAATGTGAAGAAAATGGAACAAGATGGGTCTGGTATTTATGACTGCCAGATAGTCTATAAACCCAAAAACAGATCTGAGAAACTGAATTTTAGAATATAACAGGAAGTTACACTTTTTGCTGACTAAAATTTTTATTGCAAAAAAATTATTTTTAATCAGCGTAAACATTTTTGCGACAAAAAATTTTGGTCGATAACCACTACAATAAAATTGATTTTTCACGACTTGCAATGCATGCCGTAAAAACTCTTTCACGGCACGTATACAAATGCCATTATATGACATGCCGTGGAAAGTTGAGTTTTGTTTACGACATACAGATAAAGTTATAAAAAGTAATAAATTAAACATTAATAACATACTTTGTATATCATACATAATTTTTTACAATATTTTTGTCGTGTCATAAATCATCATACTTTCCATGGCATAATGTTAAATGCTATAGAATATTATTTTTAACATATTTATGGCATACTTTGTATGCCATGTATAATATTTTACGGTATTTTCTTACATGCCATAAATCATCACGTTTCACAACATAATTTTGTAGGCCTTAAGTCATTTTTAATATATTTATGACGTACTTTGTATATCGTATTACACCAACGACTCACATTCAAGTCCAGAAAACATCAATCAACATCAAGACACGTGGTTAAGTCCAAAATTTTATTTTATTTTTTTGAAATTTTTTAATTTTTAATCATGTGGGATTGTTGAAGATGTTTAAAACTTAATTGTTCCTTGTGTTCCTCTGCCATGCATTGATTTCTTATCAATTCCTTTGAGACTTCATATTCTAACATTTCCTTACAATTGTTACAGAAGAAGCACAAAAAAATATAAATTTTATGACTTCGAATGGACCACGAAAAAAAAATAATAGAAAATATAGGAAACAAATTTTCTTTTCTTTGTTTTTTTTTCTTTTTTTTTTGGGCAGCGTTGGAAGCGTAATGGTTGAAAAATAGTGGTTGAAAGAATAATAATTAATCTGAGCAAAGCTAGTTGAGCCAAAGAATAGCAACCTGATCATTGGAAAAACATTGTTAAATTATTCCTCAAAAAAAAAAAAAATGTTGAATTATAAATTTTTTACATGGTTCATTGCTAAAATATAACTTTAGCTATTGAATTTAGCTAACCATTGGAGAAACTCTTAACACTAAAACTGATCCATGATAGCTAAGTTAAAATGAATGTAGTTTTCTCTTTTTGTTTCACCTTCTTTTTTTCTCTTTTAAAGACTACTCGTCGCCCAGAAACATCATCTACATAAATATAAAATTGTTGCCAAAAACAAAAAACAAAAAAACAAAAAGAAAAAGAAAAATATAGTTAATTGCGGACCCACAGTGGGACTGGGGTGCCATCGCCAACCCCAGCCTTTGGAAAATTACACTACTAGCTCTATATTCGTAAGTATTTGTAAAATGTATCATTGGATTGTCTCTTAATTTTTTCAAAATCTTTCTATTAATTTTATATTTCATTAATGTTTCACAATGTATAATGAGATGATTTCTAACTAATTGGTATGCAACTTAGCATCAATAAGATTTACTTAATTTTATTTATAGAATAGGTCATTTCTTTCTATTTTTATTTCAAAAATAAAAAGTACGCTTACATTTTATTTCCTAGATATTGTCAACCAACAAAATAGCTTTACTAATATTTCACAAATTTAGAAAAGAATTAAAAAGAAAAAAGAAATTATTAGATTTATTTGTTTGTTTTTTTTCTCATAAAGCAATTTTTTCACAAACCTCATGTGAGAAATTACTCTCTATCGGTAATGTACCAATTATTTTTTCCTTTTTCTTTTTTCACACAATCACATTGGTCTCCCTAGACATAATTTCTCATTTAGGAAAATGTTTAAAACCCATAAAAAATCTCTCACAATGTGACCTACAATGATGTGGCATTATACATATAAACTTTTAGTTTGTCATTTCTCAGTTGTGTAGAGTCTATTTCTCTTGTTATATCATTGTAGATTGAATTAAGGATTCAAATTGTGGGTCTCTAATACTAGTCTTTTGTTTCCACCCATGAATATAGTGTCCATTCCTTGATTCTATTATTCTAAAACTCACCGTTGACATTTAAACTTTGAAAATTTTCTTAGATGCTTGTAAAATACCACGTAACATTATTCCCCCATGTCACGCAAACTTATAGAATCAAAATAAAAAACAAATAAATAAAATAATAGCAGGATGCTAAGAAAAATGAAGTGTAGATTAAGTGTAGAAGAATGAAGTTTAGATTAAGTGTAGATTAAATAATCAAATCACATTCACCTAAAAAAAAAATCAAATCATTTGAGTGTCCATAATAACTTCAGCAGAGACAAGAGCTTGTTTTCATCCCATACTCTTACTACCATACCACTCATAATTAAAAATAAACTAGCAAACTTGTTGAACCCTCAATCTTTAATAAGCATGTCTCGAACAAAGATACAATTTGCAAATTCACTGGTGTGGCTGGCATCAAAGAAGAGAGAGTGACATCTGTTGTCACATGGTGTAGAGTAATTTGGGATGCAAGCTAGTTCCCCTAGAACATAGGCTCATCAAAGAAGAGATATTGACATCTGTTGTCACATGGTGTAGAGTTTGGGATGCAAGCTAGTTTCCCATCAACATAGCCTCTGCAACATGGATCCTTTACATCTGTAAACCCTACACAGCACAACACACATGCAGGAGACAAAAATAGCTACTTTACGGCAAAATGATATTAAAAAAAAATTTAAAAAAAATTAATAATGACCAGAAATTAATTATTTGTTCATCGCACTGCCCATTTCCTGTCTTGTTTATCATCGATGGCAAGCATCCCAGAGGACCTATGTTGTTCACCACTAGATTTCTGGCTCCAATGTTATATAGTGTCTTGCAAGAATGAAAACATTAAAGGATGGTTAGGTTAGACTCTAACCCAATCCATAGCCATGGAAGCTATCATCTTTCACACTTAAATTACAGTTGATCATCGATTAATAGCAATAATATAGTGTTAAAAATCAACAATCTGATTTGAATGCAATTAGTTAAAAGTTTACCTGCAAACACCATCGAAACTGAATTAAGAGAGAATTTGCAAAATATTCAGGGTCGTGGTGGTTGTTAAAGTTTAAGGTGTAGTCATTGGTCCCCGTGGAGATGAAAAATATGGAATTTGCAAGATACTCAGCGAGCTCTTGTGGATCTTCAATCATACATGGCAGATCTTCCTGGACAGTCCTGTTAAATGCATCAATCTGTGTTTGCAAACTCCAGCAATCACGCTGAGAAGCCAAGAGGAATTAAACTAGGGAGAGGCTTCTCTCCAGTCCACAGTGGACTAGAGCATGCTGTTGGACCCGTGGGACTCACTATGGATCCCGTTTCGATTATCTGAACCGTTCAATATGTAGAACTCATCAAGTACTTCATGTGTGTGAAAAATCACGTTGATCGGATAGCGGTAGTCCTTTGATCAGAATACATTTTTGTCAATGGTAATATGGTTTTAAAAATAAATTATTAACAAAAGTATATTCCGATCAAGAGGCTATCTATATCTGATTAATGTGTTTTTTGCAGGTATAAAGGACTCGATGAACTCTACATAATCAACGATTCAGATTATCGAAAGGAAACCCGTGGTGAACCCCACGAATCCTACAACACACTCCAATCCACCATGTGGATACCAGAGAAACCTCTCCCATAAAGTAACGTTAACAATGGTTGGGTAAATTGTAAATATGTACATATATTAAAAACAAAAAAGTCTGAAAAAAAATACAGATTTAGAGGACTCACAAGAAGCAAGAAAAAAAACACAGGGGTAAGTGCACCCATGCCAATCTATGGTGGGGAAAAATAGAAGAGAATGTGAAGAAAATGGAACAAGATGGGTCTGGTATTTATGACTGCCAGATAGTCTATAAACCCAAAAACAGATTTGAGAAACTAAATTTTAGAATATAACAGGAAGTTACACTTTTTGCTGACTAAAATTTTTATTGCAAAAAAATTATTTTTAATCAGCGTAAGCATTTTTGCGACAAAATTTTGGTCGATAACCACTACAACAAAATTGATTTTTCACGACTTGCAATGCATGCCGTAAAAACTCTTTCACGGCATGTATACAAATGCCATTATATGACATGCCGTGGAAAGTTGAGTTTTGTTTACGGCATGCAGATAAAGTTATAAAAAGTAATAAATTAAACATTAATAACATATTTTGTATGTCATACATAATTTTTTACAATATTTTTGTCATGTCATAAATCATCATACTTTCCATGGCATAATGTTAAAGGCTATAGAATATTATTTTTAACATATTTATGGCATACTTTGTATGCCATGTATAATATTTTACGGTATTTTCTTACATGCCATAAATCATCACGTTTCACAACATAATTTTGTAGGCCTTAAGTCATTTTTAATATATTTATGACGTACTTTGTATGTCGTATATAATCTTTTACAACATTTTCTTACATGACATAAATCATTACACTGCTCATGACATAATTTTATATGCCTTAGAATGTTATTTTTAATATATAATATATATACAGAAATATAACATTGCCTAACATTATGCAAATAGTAGCTTATAAAATGCAATCTGTGAACAAACCAAGTAAAAAGCAACAACTATGAAGTAAGCAAAAAAATCTAATATCCATACACCAAACAACCTTCATACTAACTTCCATCTTTAACTTTTATCATATCAAGCTAATAACAATCTCAAACATACAAACTAAGAAAAGTATCCAAATCATAAGATTTACTAATTTCTAAAATACGACTTTAAACATCCAAAAAGCATAACTACAAATCGTAAATCAATTATTCTAATATTTAGTCCAAAAAAATGAATTGACTAGGCCATGCAACTATACTTCCTATTACATCTTGAAGATCATCCATTGTCGTAGCAATTATAGCTTCACGCTCCTTCCTAATTCTTTTCTCAGCTTTTTTTGAATTCTGTGCAATACACAAGGAAAAATAAGAAATAATAGGGACAACAATTGGTTATAAATTCAATTTTATGTTAAATGAGAAATAAAATACCTCTCCACTCATCTTGCTAGTTGACAATTTCATGATTCAACTGTTAATAAGAAAATGGGCATTCACATTAACAATCAGATCAACAACAAGAACAATTAGATCAACAACAAAAGAGGTAAAACACACCAACTACATAAACTGTATCAACACTACAACAAAACAGGGTACTAGGAGTAGATTGAGAGTAATAAGCAAAGCTCTGGTATTTTTTGAATAAAATGAATAACATCAAATTTAACGCATGTTCTCATGCTTTAATAGCCCAAGTGTCTAAATGTAACATAGCCTAGATGAAAACACTATATCAAATTATAGCCAGAGAGAGTCTTACATCCATGCTCTTCACTACATCGGGCAGACATTCATGTCATAAATTCACTCTAATATTTTATTTGGAACTAGGTAAAAGGAATTTTTTTTCAAAACTCTCATCCCTTTAAAATAACATTTCCATATGTCCACCACTAATACACACACATAAACAGAACGAAACATAATATCACCTAGCATAGTTTAGTTAATTAATTTAGATATTTTATTGATGCAATTTCCACTTCCCAAAAAGTAACAGAAAAAAAATATCTTTTATTTTTTTAATTTATTTTATTTCCCCCTTTTCACTATGTGAGTTTTTTTTTTTGACCAGCAAGAAAAGGAAAACTTTATTGATGAGGTGAGCAAATACAAGCAACAATAAACATCAATAAAGAAGGGAAGTGCAAAAAACATCATAGCTAAACTCCACAATCCCAACTAGGTTGGCATCAAGGAGGAAGCACAATTATATGGTAGCACTAAACCCACAGATTGACGAGAAACCAATCCAAAACAGAGAAACAAAAAGAAAAACAGTAAAAAACAGACCAACCACACCGCAAGGACAACCATCCAACTCTGCCAACTCCTTCCCTTGTAAAATCTTCCAGCAACTTCTAAACAATACACCATCAAACTCCTTGCCACAGGAAGAGGCACCAGTATTTAACACCCAAGGTAGCAACAAGCAGCACCAATAGACAGCAGCACCAACAGCACCCAAGGTAGCAAAACAACAGCTATAACAGCATGTCAACCCAGCAAACATCAGCAACAGCATTTCAACCCCGCAAACATTAGCAACTGCATGACAACCCAGCAAGCAAACAACACAGAAGCTATAACAGGACTGCTAACAAACTGATAAGTGCACCAAGTACACAGCTACAGCAGCACACTACTACTGCAAACTGTTACTACACATGACAGCAAACACCAGCAACAAGAGAACCAGCAACTATAGGACCAGCAGCAGCAGTTCATAACAGCAAAAACACCAGCAGAGGGCTTCCCATAACAAGACCACAGCAGTGGGACTACGCACCCAGCAACTGGACTACACACAGCAACAGCAGGACTTGACAGCAAAACCAGCACAAGGCGTCCCAGAACACTGCCACCACAGTGCCCCAGTAAACACCCTTCATCTCAAGCAATGTCTGACCTATGAACAAAATCATGCACTCCGTACTGCACACCTGGTAAATTGTTCTTAGCCCAAAATGCAATCCTGGTCTTCACAATGTCCTCCAAATCATCAAAATTAGGATGGCCACTGTTAAACAATATATCATTCCTTAACTACCAAATTGGCAAAATAAAACTAGCGGCACAATTTTCCACACCTTCACCTCTTTTTTCTTAACCAAAGCCCCTGCCCACCACTGAAACAAAGCCTCAATCGACCCAGGAATTACCCACCACATATCCCACCATCTTATATGTGAATGAGGAGTTGAGCCTGTAACATTACCTGATTTACACTAGTGGTGGCAAAGAACAATTACCAGTTCTTCAATTTCATAGATGTGACTTTAAGCTCGGTCTTGAGAACCTGAGGAATGGACAGTGGTCCCCTTGGACTCTGCAGGAAAAGGAGGGCAAGTGTAAGTGTGAGCGCGGTCGCGCGGAAGGAGCTAGTCTTTAGCTCGGTCGTTAAGGGTTCCAAACCACCTCGGTCTCCTAAGCTAACTAGACAGCTCGGTCGCCCAGGCAGGCCAGATATTAGCCCGGTTGAGCGACCATTTCCTTTTGTTATCTCGGTTTTTGCCGGGGTTGGGACAAACACGTTATTTGCTCGGTCAGAATGGTTTTTTGGATCAAAAGAAGACCAGGAGCCCGGTTCGCCCCAGTTCTTCAGTGTTCTTCATGGAGATGAAGAACACCAAGAACAGTGGGAGGTTTGGGACGGATTCTATGACCTATGCCCTAAGAGCTATGTTTTTGTGCCCTAATGTGTGTAATATGAAAGAAAATAGCAACTCAAGAAGGATTGAAGATCTTACCTGTGAAGGGCTGGAGCTGTTCTTCCGAGCATGAAGAATGGCAGTCGAGTATGAGAGAAAATGGCTTGAGCTCTGAATCGTCAGGTAGAAAAGAGGCAGTAGGAAGAAATGGCATAAGGGGGGTCTAGTATATGTAAGCATGAGAGGCCGCCCAAATTCGAATTCTGGCAAAAACGGCGGGTTGGCTGCTCGATGACCAATGGCAGCCCGCCACGTGTCCCCATTTATGGAACGTCAGGACTGAAGCGATAGGTTGAAGAGTCGAGGAGCCAACCGAGCTACTTCTGAAGAAGAGGACGTCAGCCGTGGCGTACAACGGGTCAAGTTTGCAGACAATTATGTTAACTAGCCCGGTCGCCCTTTCTCATCTTGGAGACCGGAGGAATATTATCTCGGTCGAAGTGAGTAATCCCAGTCACGCTTTCGCGGACGGAATTAAGGGGCAATTGAGACGGTGATTTATGATCTGGAGTTGGGCCGTGGTAGAGGCCGAGCAGGTTGAGAGCCCAACGGTGCATGGGGCCGAGATGATTGACTGTCCGCCAAGAGATGGGCTGCCAAAACTTGGGCCGGGCAGAACTTGGGCCGGGTGTGTGTCGCCCCAGACCGTCAAGAAGCTGCTCGGTTGGACCGAGCTGCTCGATCAGGCGATGGCCGAAGCAAGACAAGCGAGTGATCGGCGCCCGGAAAGGCGCGGTCAGCCGAGTTAACTGTTTGACCGGCAGAAAGGCCGGCCATAGGAGGTGCCTCGGGCTAGGCTTTACCGAGATGTCGCCTAGCCCGGTCCTTCTTGGACTTAGCCAGTGAAGTGCTTGGGTATGAAGCATGGCACGGCACGGCAACGGATAGAGCAGCTCGGTTGCCGAGCTCCAGCTGTGAAGGCAGGCAGTTGAGATTAGGTGATGTTTAGCAAGGTTTATGCTGACAGATGGGATAGCGGAGCCACGTGTCAGGGGATAACTGGGAGTAGATATGGGGCACAGAGGGTATATAAGCATGTCTGCGCCCCCCATACGCGACAGATGAACACTTTGTAAGGATTTTCTTACACTAAAATACTCAACACTCTCCCTTCTCTCTATCTATCCCTTGGTGTGTGTTCTAACTTGACCGTTGGAGGGGTTTTCTGGCCACACACCGCCGGGTAGCTCACCCACATTATGCTTTCAGGTGATCGGACAGAAACGGAGCTTAGAAGAAAGGAATACGGGCTCGCCTGAATATTTGCTCCCCGTACATAATCCATTAAGTATAACAAAAAAACCATCAAAGCAAATCCCAAAATGAACTAACATGGAGTCCATAAAAAAACATCAACACTCGATCTTGATTTGTAGAAGTATCAGTTCAGGAAAAAAAATTCGACACTTGATTTTGATTTGTAAGTATGCTTCCAAACGTCATCAAAAACCAATCTGCAAAAAAAATAAACAAGAAAAATATTAACATATTATCAATTACACTGTATAGACCTCTCTATCCATGTCAATACAAATTGTGTACACAATCTGCACTCGGTAAACAAAATGTGATTAAATTCTAGAGAGGAACTTAATAATGCACTTAAGGAGCTGTGCATATAAGAAATGAACGATACCAATAGAATTGATAGCCACATGCGACAATTCCAATGAATGCCCTAAGACTAAAATTTAGTACTTATGCCCTATTACTGCAGTTCGTACTCTGTTTGATTTTCTCTTTACTCAACTATATACGAAGTCCAGAGAAGTTAAAGCAAGATATGCTAATTTAAGGGTGTAATATTTCAATTTTCATTAAATATATATCCCACTGCCAAAAAGAGTGTTTCCTCTCTAATCAAATGCAGTGATAATTATAATGTATTATTCAATAACATAAGTAGTAAATGGACAGATATAGGGTCCTGATCACCAATTCACCATAAACTCATTTCTAGGCACTAACTTTAAGTTCAGAATCAATTTTCCTATTACTTGTACAAATGAAGTCTTAAGTGCCAAAATCTGGCACTTAGTAAAACATTTAAATCTAAAGTTTGCAAGAATCTGCTGGTTCATAAAACTGCCCAAATTCAAGCAGCCAGTCAAAACTTTCCAACATAACAAGGAAATTTCTCAGGATGGGAAAACTAGGGAAACAAAACAGATTGCATAATTACTTAATATTAGTAAACGTAATTAAATAGATAACAAATTTATGGAGTAGAACTAGCATAATCAAGCCACATCAGCTAATAAACCTTTGCTAGAAATCTATTGACAATCCCCCCCCCTTTCTATCTACAACAAATAACCTATCTGTTTACTGTATTTGGCAGGAAAGAAACTCTAGAATTTTTCAATCTATTAGCTCTCCTGTTGAGGTGTTTCAGAGGAGAATTGTCAACCCTGTAAGGTTTAGAATTCTTTCTGTGAAAGAACTTTAATAAGAATGCCGCTAGTGATTGGTTTATGGACAGATGGAGGCTCCCTTCCTCTGTACTGAAACTGGGGTGCTTTCTTATGGCTATGGCACTAACGCTCTGAATCTTATATGCTTGGACTTACTACTCTTGCAGGTCTCCTTAGGCTGTCGGTGCTTGTTGGCTGGAGCAGCTCCTTATTTCCTCTAATGAGCTTCTTTGCAGGTCCTGCTGGTACCTCTTCAGGGATGCTGAGGGTTGAGTGATGTGATATTTAGGTTGAGGGTTGAGTGTTGTGAGCCCAAAATACTTATCCATATTGCATTGTTCTCATATGTTTATCCAATTGTTTTCTCTGCAGTGTCTAGCTAGTACTGCTTGTAAGGAGAATGAGGGTTGAGATTGGTGAGGCCAGATATGTTAGGTTACTGTATTTCTTGGATATTTGAGTGATGTGAGTTCCTATATGTGGGCTGAGTGAAAGTGAGCACATATGTTTTTACTCATTGTTTTCTCTACAGGTTGTCGAGCTGGCCTTTTGGTGAGGGAATTCTTTGGTTGTGCGTTGAGTGAATTCAGGATATATCTTTGTTGAGTGCCTCTTCCTGTGTGGGTTGAGTGAAGTGAGCCCTATATGTGTTGTGGTGTGTTCCCTGCAAATGAAATAGAGTATTGTTCCAAAAGTATTGAATAATTTCTCCTTCACTATCAATTTAGAGAAAAAAATTTGGGACCTATCTATCTCTCTCCCCTCCCTCATGAATCTTCCTCTTTGTCGTCAATAAAGTGGCTCTCTCCTCTCTTTGGAGTGTACATCTTTGTTATTATTACATTGGGCAAGTTATAAAATAAAACAAAGAAATATACAAGATTACAAGAGGCATTCCTAAGGCAAACAACAAACAAACCCAAAACAAAGAGGCACAAGAAGCTAACCCTAGCGAAAAGAACCGGCCAAAAAAAATAACTAAGCAACCTACCCAAGGAAAACAACAAACAAAACAAAGCCTAACAAAAAGATGCAGAACTCAATGCCCCACAAAGAAGCACCAGCAAAGCACTACTAAACTAAATTTTAGGCCTATTATCTTTCCTCTTATCAAACACATCTTTGGGAATGGGCATAATACTTTCCTTTGGCATGATAATTGGCACACTTTAGGTTCTTTGTGGTCTAAGTTTGGTGAGAGGATCATCTATGATTCTGCTATTCATAGTGATTCTAAAGGTCAGTGCTGTTATTGAGAAAAACTCTTGGAAGTGGCCTGTGGTTAGCTCTTGGGAAATTAAGGAGTTAATTGATAACATTCCTCTATCCCTTACATCCCAGTCAGGATGATGATAAAGTTCTGTGGACTCCTGCCCCCAATGGCGAATTCTCTATCAAATCTACTTGGAATTCTTGGAGGAAATCTTTTGCCAAAGTTCCTTGGGCTCATGTTGTTTGGGGCTCACGTATTATCCCAAAGCTAGCTTTGTTACTTGGATGGCTATTCACTGAAGGCTTAATACAGGGGATAGGCTTTATCTACTTGGTTTATCCCAACATGTGAATTGTGTCTTTTGCCAGAACACTTATGAAGATCATAATCATCTATTTTTTCACTGTCCTATCTCTGATAGAGTGTGGAGTCAGCTGAAATCTATGATTAATGAATCTTGGCCTAGTCTTCTTTGGCCTAAGTTGGTGGAACATATCTCTAAAGCTGTTAAGGGGAATTCTATGGGCACTATTATTTCTAAGCTTGTTTTTACTTGCACAATTTACCAGCTGTGGCTTGCTAGGAATAATAGGATTTTTAATAATGAAATGTACCCTGAAGAAGTGGTTCTCATGAGAATTGTGGATATGATCAGATATAGAATGATTTCAATGTCTAACTTGAAAGTTCATTCCACTCATAACTGGTTTCTATGCAAATAGAGGCTGCCTCACTCCATCTTGAAGGACAGTCATGGTGCTGGAAGCAGCAGAAATATGAGGGATGGGAGTTTAGTATATGTGGGTTGAGTGAAGGTGAGCAGATATTGTGTGTTATCTAACAATCTTCTAATTTTTGCAGGTTGTAAAAAGCTGGAGTGTGAACTATTATATACCATTGAGAGTTGAGTGATAGTGGGGACTATATTCATACCTTTAC